CTGGATTCAGGATTTTTGATGAAATTCCACATGTTGGTGTGGTTATCTCGACAAAATTGCTGTTGAATATTTGTCAAATCCGTTACAACGAGGTTATTCACACTGTCGTATTTGGGTACGATCCACTTAAAGAATAATTAAGCAAATCGTCTAAATAAATAAACTATGAAATTAAAACAACCTTTGATGTTGCATATCAGCATACGCTTGTATACTGCTATACAACGTCTCCTACTTCGAGTACATACTTCTATATAAAAGATTGCATGATTGGCCTAAATACGATATACGAATGACAGTTGGATACAGAATGCTATACCACTGAGTTACGATATCACCGATCGAGAAGAGAAACTTCTCAGATCAATCAAGAATTATAAGAAAGAGAAACTTAATATTAATAGTTCTCTCAATGGATTAGCTACCCAGAGAGAGAATAGAACAGCTATTAATATAAATGGTTCATTTACTTATATATTGATATAATTATACTGCTGATAAAGAGTATAAAGAAATAGGGTATGAATTAATGGATACCTAGCTTCTACAACCAAATATACAAATATCGATAAGACATTTTATATTTTGGATCGTGATTTATTCATTACAAAGATAATGAATAAATGATCAACTATTATGTTCTATTGCCAATTACACTTGACAAACAAGTATGCATCTTTTACAGTAACCGTTGCATGATCTGATAAATAAGTGTCTCGTAATACTAAAGATTTATTAGCATACTCATGCTCCCGATCCACTGATATGGGACAACGTTATCTGGAAACAATTCTAACGAGTAGTATCCGTTTAATCCAAGGCGGGAAACAAAGTATAGATCTATTCCAAAACCAGAAAGGTTGACTCATCATTAAAACTCAGGAGAGTTGTGCAATATAAAAAGGATCAATTATTTCATAGCAGCAGAGTTCTTTTAGTCTATTTTTCCCCTAATAAAAATATACTTTTATCTCATTACTTTTCTATGTAATATTTTGTCAAATACCACACACACCTCTTGTTTCAAGCATCTAGTCACCAAGAAAAATTATTATTATAAGCCAAAATACAAAGAGGCATAGATATGTTAAAGAATATACACAAAACGTTTTATTTATTATGACTACAACTTCACTAACTATAGATTTCTCAAACGCCTTCTATATATCAATTTTTAACCTTACCTTCAATGTTTCACTGGGCGTTGTTCCTGCACGCATAAGACTGATTGCAAGCTCCCGGTCTTCTGCATTGAGCTTGCGATTGTTGTGATAAGCTCTTCTATCCTCGCTCAAGGGATGATTATGCTTAAAACAGCTGATTCTGATTGTCCATGGCTGTCCGACAGCTCTTGCATCCCTACGAACATATACAAATGCCGAGCACCTTGCTTTTCCAGTTGTTCGGTTGGGAGGCTGCGCAACACTCTCTAATCCCTCACCAGTTCCAATATCCTCTTCATCTAGTTTTGCAATTAATTTATCGAATTATTTTATACGACCTTATCGCAGATTTTAATTTATATTACATTTACCCTTCTTTGCGGCACGATATTTGCCAAAATGTTTGCAAATCATCTTAATGTATGATTTGTCGCTTTTACAAGTCTCAAAGGGGATGTTGTTTGCTTTACTGAAAGACTGTATTTCCAGTTTTGCAGAGTCCTTGTTGACAAACGTTTTTCCCATGGGAAACTCGGCTTCGAAAGCAGCCTTCAATTCGATGACTCGTTCATTGATGAAAACAGTCTCGGCAAAAGAAGAGACATGTCGTGTGGCTTCGACACTAACGTCTTTCTCCTCAGGCTCAGTAAGACATTCCCAGTCGTAGTCATCAGTCGTTGCTTCCTCGGCAATAGCTTGCTCAGCGTTTTGTCTGTCAAAGGTCTCCTCGAAACTGTCTTTGGGTTCGTCGGCAGGGTTGATTACAGATAAAAGACTGTTAATTAACAATTGGCTTTCGCTCAAAGATTGTTGTGAATCGTTTGAATTCATTTCAAAAATAATAGTTTAAAAGGAAAAGAATGAAGCAAAAAAAAAGTGTGGTGCGCGAGAAAAAGTATGGTGCGCGAAAAAGTGTGGTGCGCCAGCGAAAAAAAGTATGGTGCACCAGCCAAAAAAAAGTATGGTCCGCCAGCGCTAGAAAATAATTCTATGTGCAAAAATTATTTTTGGTCCGACCCAGGATTTATTATTTGACCGGCACAGAAAAGTATGGTGCGCGAAATTTTTTTTTCAAGCAAAAAGTACGGTGCGCGTATAATTAGCCTTTTTTTAACAGTGTAATTTTTAAGCAGTGTTAAAAACAATTGGGGGTGCGGGGTTTTCCGCCGCAAGAGGGGAGGGGAGACCCCTTCACCCAAGAATACGGCCCATAATATTTATCATTAAATTGTTACCTTCTGATAAACAATAGTCCTTTTTTTTACACTGCTGTGTTTTTAAAGCATGATTTTTTTTATGGCGTAATATTTCTGAGCCGAGATACAAAATTAGAGGCTGGGAAAACACCTCCACTCAAGAATACGACCCATAATATTAAACATTAAACTGAAAAAAAGAGCTGATATAAAAATTGTTTAATTTGGAGAAAGTCATAATATAAAAAAGACTTTTACAAAAAAAGTCATGAAAAAAAAAATTGTCACTTTGGGGGTTTCGGGGTAGAGGTTACCCTTTGCCCTAGTATAACAACTAATAACATTAAGCATTATATTATCGAGGTTAGAGAAAAGTATATGAACACTTTTTCACAAACAATATGTCATTACTCGAGAACAGCTGAAAAATTGTTTGTTTTTGGTCGATGAATGGGTCGTGTTTGACATTAATATTTTGGATCATCAAGTCTTTAATTACGAAGTATAAACATTGCGCATACAATAGTTAATCAGATGTATAAACAATTAATACTTTTCCGTAGATCAACAATCTTGCCTGGGTCTAGGGATATCGTCTTTTTCCAAATATTTATACATGTATTGAGAAACAAAAAAGTTTTCTCCAGTGTCAAACTGGTAATAGGTAGGGTAGCTTAAGCTATAATGGTGCGTTGGTTTCATGATTAATTAATCTATGTTAAGTTTTTTATTTCAAAAACGGGTCTGCGGCAGCACCAGGCTTTTTCAAACCAAACCTCCGTTTCGATAAAATTTTTGACCTTCGCTGGGCTGCGATAAATTTTTGACCTGCACTATGGTCCGGTACGCTGCGCTTTGAAAAAGCCTCGTCCTTTTAAAAAAGGGTAGGAGTTACACGGTGGAATTTGTTTCTGGAGGGGACTGTACACTCTGGAGCTCTCAAGGATGGTTTTCACGTAATGGATATGATCAAACTCAATCAATCAAAAGACATGCATAAATATTTCATTAGATGCTTTCGGGACATATTACAAGTCTGTGATCAAGATGATAAAACGTTAGTGGAAGCATATTTGTCTAGTATGGGATCAGAATAGAATACAAGAATGCTGATTACTCCATCGTTTATTTTTGAACGAGTTAGGAGATTTGTACCCCCAGCCTGGTGAATTACAATTGGCTCTCAAGTTTCTGTTGGATAGTTACGTTCTGCTGAGGTGTAAAAATTCTGGTCATAGTGTGGTATTTGATAAAATTAATACACTTGAGAAAAAATCAGATAAAGTATATTTTTATTGCATGTAAAAGTAGACCAAAATAACTCGGCCGCAATGAAACAATTAATCCTTTTTATATTGCACAACTTTCATGGGTTATAATGATGAATCAACCATTTTGGTTTTGGAATAAATCTATATTTTGTTTCCAGCCTTGGGTTCATTGAATACTACTCGCCAGAGTAGATCCCAGTTAACGTTGTTCCATATCAGTGGATCGGAAGCACGAGTATTCTAATAATTCTTTAGTGTTACAAGACACCTATTTATCGGATCATGCAACGGTTAATGTAAAAAATGCATACTTGTTTGTCAAGTGTAACTGGCAACAGTACATAATAGTAGTAATTGATTATTTATTTATTATCCTTGTAATGAATAAAATATGGACCCAAATATAAAATGTCTTGTCGAGATTTGAATATTTGGTCGTAGAACATAGGTATCCATTTATTCCTACACTAATTCTTTATACTCTTTATCAGCAGTATAATTATATTAATATATATGTACGTAAATAAACCATTATATTAATAGCTGTTGTATTCTCTCTTTGGGTAGCGAACATTGCTGTGAGGCTAATGTGTCTACTAAAAAAATCAATCCGATTCTAGGAAACAAAGATCCTGTAAAGAGAGAATTAAACAAATCAAGACATCTACAAGGTTTTGTTGACAAAACTAACAATGACGTTTTGGCAATTTTGTTAGAATTGAGGGAGCCTTTGTACGACGCATCGATTATGCTCAGATTGTTGATTCTAAGTTTTGAATCACATTTTCTCATCCTGTAATGAGTTTGCTTTTCTTACCATTTCAAAAGAATTCTATCATTACTGTTGTTACATTTGAAGCTGTATCGACTAGCGTTTACCTCGCATCATCTGACATTTATGTGGAAAAGATGAGAAAACATGTTGTAATTATTCAACCTATAATTAAGCACCAAACTGCTGAGCAATTCGTCTTTTTTAAAAAATTCGTCATCCAGCAGATGTTCTTCCTCGGCATAATTATGAATTTCTTTTTAGCAGAACGCCAAGGTTTCTAATGGCCTCCCCAAAATACTTTGGTTTGAACGAAAATGAGACTCTTGGACAAATTAAACGTTGCTAGTTTTATTGGATGCAGCCAGTCCAACGTATAGCTAAAATCCAACAGATTGTTTCACCTGAATATGCCAAGACGTTTATTGCATAGACGTACAAATTCCAAAATACGAAAAACAATGCCTTGTTTCCTCAGAAGGCAAATCACATTCTTGAAACGTTCTCTGACACTGGAGCATGATTTCAGTGGTGGCTTGAAACGAGCGTGTCATCAATGATAAAAATGATCTTCGTACACACGAATCACATACATCGAATGGAATTGAATTGTGCCACCGAAATGTGTACAGGTTTATCACTAGAGAATCCAATTCAAGTCAAGCTTTGCGTGAAATTATTAAAGTATCATACATCTAAGGCGATGAAATGTTAGGCTATTACAATGATGGTGTTAAGCCAAACCATGGGTCCATAAAACGAAAACACTTCATAAAAGTTGATTAAGAGCTTTTATGAAGTTAGTGAAAGTAGAGCTCCGGATACCTTGAATGAAATCTACGGCACGCAAAGGTCTGTCTCCAAAAAAAAACATTGTTGAAACTGCGTCTGCTGTTAATCAAAGAACCAACTTTTCAATTTGTTTTTAATTGATAACGACAGTAAAATCAAAAACAAACACGACAATGAAATGGAAAAAAAAACATTGAGCCCTTCCTTGTAGATTACGACATCACTGACACTGATGAATACATCCAAGTAGGAAAAACTACAGTCGATTTGGAAGATACAATATTTACTGGAACGATGGAAAAAGAAGTGAAGGAAAAGGTGATCAATGTATGCATTGTTAATAATCCCAGTCAAGATAACATGGTCGGAGAATATTATGATGCGAATGACATTAATGACAACGAGTAGCTAAAGTCTGTCAAATCCGTAGATTCAGTGAAACTATCCGAAGGGCTTTATGCCGAAGGTTTCGTTTCTGAAAGCGAGGTTATTTCAATGAGAACACAAAGAAAGATCATGTAACTTCGTAATCCAGAACTTGAGGCAATTGTAAAGGACATGGCAGCAACGAAGAAAAACTAATCTAGTTAAACCAGTTCAAAACAAAACGTCTTTCTTGCGCTTTACAAACATGACGGTACCCTCAACGTCTCTTGAGAACCATAATCATGGCCCTTAAAAGACACAAACACGCTCTTTCTGAGATGTGGCTGCACAAGCCTTACCACCTGGAGCAAACCGAAACAATCCCAATTCAAAATCTCGAATTACCATCTCTCTTAGAGACACCATCTTCAAACCACTGACTGAACTTAGAGACCAGAAACCTGCCATTCATCGTAACAGTAGTTATAAACATGCTATGTTTTACTTTATTGCAAAAGAATTTTTAAACTTCATACCTGAATTTAAAATAGCACGTCATGCGCGTTTTTCTTTTGGTACATGTTTCGGTACTCATGCCACTGATGACGGTCAGGGCGAAATTATCGAAGTCATTTTGAATGACCAATCAGCTGTCGACATTTCAGTAAATAATCCTATTCTTATTGGGCACGACAGAAAGTTTCACGTCACTCTCGCTGTCCCTCAGGATAACATCATTTTGAAGGTCTATCTTTCAAAATTACCTTTCTTGCCAGTAGCCGATCGGCACACCACGTTGGTCGACAATTTTACTTGTTTCGGTAATGTGAGAGACGTCACCATTTATTGTCGTGAAACGTCGATGTCATCGTTTCACTCATCGGTGTTATAATATTTTACACAACCATTATGACTAACATTATGCAATGTGACAACAAGACTAACAATCCTTCACCATGACATTCAGACCGCAATAACTAGAAAACTCAATTACTATAAATATAACCAACTACTTCTTTTAATAAACACGAGGCTTTTTCAAACCAAACCTCCGTTTCGATAAAATTTTTGACCTTCGCTGGGCTGCGATAAATTTTTGACCTGCACTATTGTTCGGTACGCTGCGCTTTGAAAAAGCCTCGTGCTGCCGCAGGCCTGTTTTTGAAATAACAAACTTAACATATATTAATTAACCATGAAGCCCATGCACCATTATAACTTAAGCTACAATGCCTATTATTAGTTTGATACTGGAGAAAACTTTGATGTTTCTCAATATATGTATAAATGTCTGGAAAAAGACGATATCCCTAGACCCAGGCAGGAAAGTTGATCTACACAAAAAGTATTAATTGTTTATTTATCTGATTAGCTATTCTATGCGCAGTGTTTTTGCTTCATAATGAAAGACTTGATAATCCAAAATATTAATTTCAAAGGCGACCCCTTCATCGACCTAAAACAATTAATTTTCCAGTTGTTCTCGAATAATGACATATTGTTTGTGAAAAAGTGTTCATAGACTGTTTCTCTGAACTCGATAATATAATGCTTAATACTATTGGTTGTTATACTGGGCCGGAGGGTAACCTCCACCCCGAAAACCCCATAGTAACAATTTTATTTGCAATAATTTTTTCCGTAAAAGTCACTTTTATATTATGACTTTCTCAAAACAATCAGTTTTTATATATGATCTTTTTTTTTGGGTAAATCTTGATACACGGTCGATTTACACGGTTGATTTGAAGTACCGACCCAAAAATATTAAAAAGCATGACGTAGACATTAAAAAGTTCAAAAAGCGTGACGTAGAGATTCAAAAGTTCAAAAAGAGTGACGTTTCATATTTGAGAGATCGTGTACTGAGCGTGTATTTGAAAAATGTGGGGTAATGAACAAATTTGGCACTACTGCTTTCTCTTTGCTTTAATTTTAATGTTCTCTCAAACTAGAAATGTGCGTGACAGCATGCATGCTGAATTCAATCGTACATTTGCTGTAGATAAACACTTTGAGACAAGGGAAGAACTGAAGAATGCGATCAGTACTTTTGGAAAAAAATACAACGTACTCTTTTCCATTAAAGACTCTCATCCTGGTAAAGGTCAATATGCTTACATCTGTAAGCACGGTGGCTTTAAGCGTGATCTTGGAAAGAAAAATACGACACTTGTTGATGAGGTTACCGAAGAAATTATTGACCTTTCACAAAACGTTTCTTCCGTGCCTGAAACAAAAACAGTCTATCAAAAAAGTACCCAAAAGTTTCTTTGCCCTGCTTCGATTACTTTGTTTGGATTAACTGTAACCAAGAATAATATGATCCACAATCATCCAATTTCACAAGACGTTACCACATATGCCATTCATCGCAAGCAAAGCCCCGAAATTATGGCCAGAATTTATTCTCTTTTGGCCAGTGGACATAAAGACCCTGTCACCAGTGTCATGGATGTAAATATTCTTATTAATAACACAAAATATCTCATGTGCTCATTATATATACGTTATCAGACCTTAAAAGCTTTGAATGTGAACAATATAATCAAAAAAGATATCCAGAACATCCAATCTTTGTATTTGAACGACAATGGAGGAAAAGAGATGTATTCACTTATCACCGAGCTGGAAAATCTTGGGTACGTTATTCGTATCCAGGTCAAAGAAAACCAAGAAGTAAAGGGAATGTTTTTTATTCACGAAAAAGCAATTTCTGAAGCTAGACGCTGGCCCGAGGCTATAACAATTGACGCCACCTACAAGACGAATGCCCACAAAATGTCCCTCGTCAACATTGTTGGAACCAGCAACGCCTCCTCAGTCAAAGGAGGAAACCGTTTACAAACCTTTGCCGTTGCAGCCGCCTTTGTGAACAGCGAAACTGAGGATACTTACCAATGGATTTTGGAAGAATTAAGGGAAGCTGTTTGGCCGACTGAAACCAGTTTCAAGTTGCCCTCCGTTATTGTCACTCACAACGAACAAGCTTTACGCAATGCAATTGAGACAGTTTTTCCAGAAAGCCAGCATCTGCTTTGCTCATGGCATCTTTGGAATACGATGTCAACAAAGCTGGCTATTGGCAAGGTCACTTCGGTAGAATATAATTTGCGTGTCGCTGAAGCCGAAAGTGAATTTAAGGCTATGATGAATAGCTCGGATTTAACTTCGTTTCAAAAAGCAAGTGATCATTTTCAGCAGATCATCACAACTGTTGGATATTTTAAGGAAGATGGACAGATAGCGTTGTCTTATTTGAGAGACGTGTAAGTATTTGTAATTATACATGCTCTTAATTTATATATCAAAATTAATTTTGCTATTTTAGTTTGATGAAGGAGGACGAAATGAAACGATGGGCTGGATTATATGCCAACCAACATGTTCATATGGGAAATAGAACTTCTGGTAGAGCCGAAAGTTTCCATTCTGGATTGAAGAAAGCTTTGGGAAGCCAATCTGCTTCGAGGATGAGCTTGACAACCAAGCGCATGCATGCGTATTACGAAAAAAAGGTATGATCGATTTACAATTATTTGTCTTCGGAAACGTGTTAAAATAACATAATCCAACTTTTAATTTTTAGAGAGAAGATAGGTACAGAAGATTGGCAATAGAAAGAATAAGTATCAGCTCTGTTATTTTTGATGAAAGTCGTGAGTATCGCTTTAAAGATCTCGCCTTTAAAGTTGTCCGTTTCGCGATGGATAAGATAAGAACAAACCTTGTTGTTTCGCTGCAAGATTCGTTTCTGTCCAAAGGCAAGGACTGTAACTGCTGGGATCGTGTTAGATATAATCTACCATGCCCTTGTATTATCAGTAACAATCCCGGAGTGCTTCCGTTGTCGATTGTAGATGAACGTTCGAGATTTGAGCGTGATGAAGGTATTGTATAGAAGAAGAAAAGAAAGACACATGTTTGCAAATATAGATGGTTTTAATGATGTCTGCCTTTTAGATTACGAAGAGGCTAACGAAGGTAAAGCCATGGCCGAGAATGTTAGCGAGAAGAAAAACGGTAAGTTCTTTTTTTATCTTGCAGTTATGGGAAGTAAAATGAGGGGGGGGGGTATGATATACCTGTATATTGTTGTATTGCTATTTCGGTAAATATATTTAAATAAAACGAAATCCTTCATCAATTGTGATATATTATAAATGGTACACTACAATTGTTGTTGTGTTGCTTAAATGTATGTGATGATCATTATTGTTCGATATGTGTTTTTAAAAGTTTTATGAAATTATATCCTATAATATTGTGAGTAATTTAAGAAAATAGAAAACTAATAAAGTTATAATCCCAATTATTTAATAATAGACGAAGTGAATGTGGAAAACGAAGTCAAGGCCGAAGTTGCGAGTACAAATGCAGCAAAAGCAAGGTGTGATCTTGATAGAGAAGGTGAGTTAAACAGAAACAGTATTGCTGCATTAAAATTAAATAGATAAAACAAAAACAAAAATAGACGACGAAATTGTAGATACCACTATTCGGGTTCAGGAAGGTAATTTGTTCACAAATAAAAAGCTGGCAATCACAAATTCATATTTTTTATAAAACAAAAGTTGATGAGGATGAAAAAAGTGAAGAAGAGTGCTGCAATGAGGATGGAAAAAGTATGCCAGCTAAAAATGACACACCTTTGCCGTCCAAAGGTAATTTTAAATAAATTATTCCACAAGTAAAAAAATAGGAACGCTCAATATTTTATTGTTATAGAACGTACAGAAGAGGGACCAGAGAACAACAGAGAAAGGATGATTCTCCGTGTTGAGAAGCTTTTGCATGGTATGTTTACCAAAATAAACTCTTTGGGAACGCAACAAGAAGTAAGTGATACTATTAAAGTATTGGAAAAGGCCGATTTGGATATCAAAGAGCCAGTAATTAAAATGGACGAGCTGCAACCCCCATCTGTAAATACAAACAGAAAGGGACGCAAGTCGAAGCGTGGTATCAAAAGTAGCACCGAGAGACTGAAGATTGCGAAGGAGCTATTCGACGAACACCAGCTGAAGGAGATAAAAAAAAAGGAGAAAAAAGAAAAGGAAGAGGAAGAATTTGAAAGAAAAAGAAAAAAATTGTTTCTCGAAGAAAGAGAGGTAGCTCTTGAACAAAAGAAAAGAAAGTTGACCCTTTTTGTTTCTCAAGACCCCAACTATGCCAAAAGTGATGTGAAAATTGAAAAAGAAACATCGCATTATGATCGGTACGAGAAATGCAGATAAAAAACGTTATATATAAACTTACATGTAAACGATTGTTAGAGTCACTTCTTACCGTAATGCCAAAAAGGATGTAGCATTTAATTGGATTCATATCCAACCTAAAAATGTTATTGCTGCAATTCATGACGTCGGGGCTGATGGAAATTGTGGCTTTAGAGCTGTAGCATTAGAGGTATTTAACGACCAAAGTAAATGGATAAAGGTTAAACATCAAATGCTTGAAACCTACCTCAAATACCATGATACCTTGTATAAGCGAGTTGATGAAAAGGTAGTCGAATTGGAAAGAATCAAGATGGTCAAACGGTTGAACTCTACTAAATCACCATGTCTCAACCAAGAGGATCAGATATTGTGGTTTAGTACGTTCAGCTGTCCACAGGTTGTAGCCAATACATTCGAACGTCCGGTAATCCTCTTTTCCTATGTCAAATATCCGTTGAAAGAAACTGGAGAATTTAGAGAGAATCGTGAGGCACATGTTTTTTTTCCGTTGATCAACATGCCGCTTCAAAATGTTGATAAACCAATTACGCTCATTTACTCGTCGTCTCATTTCTACGTCGTCGAGTTCCATCGTACACCAACAGGACGTATAAAAAAATTTGAAAACCCTGTTGTAGATATGGATCATGATCGTTCAAGACGATCAAACGCTGATATCTGCAGCGAACAAGATTATGCAATCCTTTATTAAATGCTTCCTTAAACAATCTTTCTTAGTTCTTCAAAAAAAAAAAATTTACCCTCAATAAAAATTCGTATTACTTATATGTCTTGTTTATATTTTTTCTTAATTTCGTATCGTATTTTAAAGATTCTTTACTTTAACAGTTAATGTTTTTTAGCTTTAATCACTTCACACACACTATGTTTTTTTTACCTTATTATCTTCAATTCGTTGCATTAGAAAACTATGCCAAATTCAATTACAAATTGTTCATAATTTATTTAATTTGGGTACCTTTTTAACTAATCCATACGAAACACTTTGTTTGTTTGCAGAATTCAGAAAACTATTTTAATGCCAAAACTTTATTGTTTAAGCAAATACTGGAGCACACAACCAAAGAATGGCTCTTGTTGATACTGCTTATATGCAAAAACCTTTTTCCCAAATTTGTATCTTTTTTCCCTTTCCCCGCACTTTTCAAATACACGCTCAGTACACGATCTCTCAAATATGAAACGTCACTCTTTTTGAACTTTTGAATGTCTACGTCACGCTTTTTGAACTTTTTAATGTCTACGTCATGCTTTTTAATATTTTTGGGTCGGTACTTCAAATCGACCGTGTAAATCGACCGTGTATCAAGATTTACCCTTTTTTTTAGTCTAATGTTTAATATTATGGGTCGTATTCTTGGGAGGAGTGGTTTTCCTATCCTCTAATTTTGTATCTCGGCTCAGAAATATTACACCATAAAAAAATCATGCTCTAAAAACACAGCGCTGTAAAAAAAAAAGGAATATTGTTTTTCAGAAGGTGACAATTTAATGCTAAATAATATGGTCCGTATTCTTGGCGGGAGGGGGTCCCCCGCACCCCCTCAAAAAATTCGTAACTTTGTGACTGTTTTTTAAAATTCCTAATTCCTATTATTTTTATATATTAATTATCTTATTCTTATCTCAAAAAGTCTAGTTACAGTTTATTGCAACAAATATATTTCCTTTATATTTATTATATCTCTTAAACTCTAAGCCTCACTTCCGGCACTCTATTCGACTACCGACTTCATAACTATTTTATTATCTGGACGATGAGTTAAACACAGCTTTCTGTGGCAACTGTGCTATCTTCTTGGACTGATAAATGGGTCCAGCTAACCCCAAAGCCTGGGATGAGCTCATGTATAAAATCGATTTAGGTTACCAGTCCTTCTGTTTTGGGAAATGGGCTAAAATGGAGTCCCATTGTGTATATTGCAAGCAAATGGTATATACCCCTAAGGACTGCCAAGAAATACCAACTATTAGTAAAACGTGTTATCTATGTGATAGACGAGGGCATCTCGCTCGCCACTGTCCCCGATCTCAAGATAACTCTATTGCCTCTTCCAAAAAACGAGTTCGTAACGAAGAGGAACCTTTTAACCAAGTCTCAATTAGGTCTTAGTAACACCAACCCACACTATTAGGGCTGAAGATACCGATGAAACAACTGGCACCGAACCCAGTTCCACCGTCGATGAAGTAACCCACAAGAAGGCCCGTCATCATCGTACTTCCCAACCAATTACGTTGGTATCCGATAATGAATCTATGATGAACGTTTCAGAGGATGATGCGGATAGATTAAACGATGCCGAAGAGCTTTTCATGGTAACCAATCATGTATCAGCAATTGTTGAAAACCAAACTACCAACAAAGCCAGTAACCCGACGACGACTTTCTCTAAAGTTACCAGTTCTACTATCAGCAAAAACCTAGTCTCTCCTCGAGCTAATAAAGGTGTCGCTGCCGTAAAATATGACCCTTCCTCCTCTCAACCGACATCGTCCTTCCGGAAGACGTCTGCCTGATGAGGGGGCGGATTTAGGTATCCCCAACATTTTTATTTTAAAAAAAAACGAATCTATATTACTTTATGAATTTACATAATTCAAAATACTCAACCACCATTAATCCTCATCTTACTACAACAACAGAATCAGCATGTTTTTCTCTTCCTCCAATTGACCAAAATATATTCTTGGCCCACTCTTTCCTTTCAAGTACCATCAGGATTGCTACACTAAACTGTCGCAGTCTAGTCAAAATCAATGAACCCTCTCGTCGTCAAGACTTTATTAGTTTTCTGCCTAAACAAAACCCAACTCTAGATATCATTACGTTACAGGAAACACACGCTTCTACTACGGAACTGAAGTTAATTCTCGATAATCTATTACAAACTAAGCGAACAGTCTGGAGCAAGCATTGCGGCATTGTTTGTTTTAACCCCTCTTTGCAACTAACTCCTGAATTCATAACAATTGATCAACGGGTGATAAAGTGTAGTATTACTTAGGTGCTTCTCAAGAAAACGGGGCCGACAAAAGTTTGTCGAGAACTAATTTGGTTCAAAACTTTAATAAAGTTTATCCGAACAACTTTGACCCTTTTTGGTTAACGAAATACTGATTTCAATCCCAAATGCTAAACGAACCATAATTCATGCGTTTTGAGATAATACTATTGCTTCTTTTTTTCCTTTGCTTTAACACATTTTTATACTAAATATGAATAACAACAACTTGAATCTCGAAGAATTTTCTGATGACGAATTAGCTCTTTTAGCTCTTCAACTTTTAAGCGAAATGAATGCTATGGAAGTACATGCTGCAGCTGCCATAGCTGAGCAAACACGAAATATCAACTACCAGACTCAAGTCATTCGTAATTGCGCAATTGAATATAATGCGACAGTTCATGCCTTCGACCAATATATTTTTAATATAGACGACGACATGATACTCTTTCTCAACATGACCAACCCAACTCATTTGCAATGCAGAGTTAGATACCCTCGTTTGGAAAGCAACAAAGGGTTCTGGGACGTCTGTCACCCAAACCTCATTGATGACGAAGTTGATAGCTCACGACCAACAATGACGTTTAAGTATCATTATCGTATGTCTCGTAGAACGTTTTCTTGGTTAGTTCAACTGTTGTCTGAGCATCCAGCATTCCAGTTACTTGCTCATAACGCTACACCAGTATACCAGCAAGTAGCTTGTATTCTCTGGAGATTTGGAAGCTGCCATATGGGATACATGATGCAGAAAAGCTTTTTTGGTTTTGGTCAAGGATCCTATAACAACTTTACGAATAGGTTTCTTGATGCAATGACAGGCCTCACAAATACGATGATTGTTTGGCCCAAAACCCAGGCGGAAGTGGAGGAAACTGCCAGGGGATTTGAATATCCTAACGGTCCTGATCTAACAGCACCCGAAAACAAAAGCTGCCTGGTTGTATTGGTGTTGTTGACGGAAAGCTTATTCAAATCTATAAGCCCCGTCAGAACCCTGAGAGCTACAGGGATAGAAAAGGAAACATTTCCATTAACTTCCTTGCCGTTTGTGATAGCTCTCAACGATTCACATATGTTTACGCTGGTGAAACTGGTAAATATCACATTAAGTATGTTTGATCGATAATATGAAATCTAAAAATATTTTATTGGGGCGCACACACGATGCGAGAATGTTCAATCGAAGTGAGTTGAGAAGTTACTGTCGTAACCCCGATATTTATTTTAAGAATGACAGTTATATACTCGGAGGTAGTTGATATACATGAGATATTTATATGATTTGAACTAGTAATTTTTGTATACAGATTCTGGATTTATGTTGAGAAACAATTGTCTCATTCGTTATAAAGAACGAGATTTACGACAGGGTGATGCGGGTGTCCAGAAAGATCGGTCGAAGTACAACACCCTGCAATCAACAATGAGAACTGGAATCGAGAGATGTTTTGCACACTTGGTGAATCGATGGAGATTTCTCTTCAAGTATGTTTACGTTAAAGATCCTGTGAGGTGTGTAAAAGTTGTAAACGCTGCTTGTATTTTGCATAACATATGCAAGAATATATATGACGAGGACTTGTTTCACGATCATGTCTTTCGCATTCGAGGTACTGTGGTGAATCCCCAAAGTGATATTGTTTTGGAGCTTTCAACAAACTTAAGTGCACGCAATTTTGAGGAAATGGGGTCAGTAGTTGATGAGAGTGAAGATCAGGGACGTGGATACAACAAGAGAGAGGAACTTCTTAGGGATGCCAAAACGTATTCCTGTGAATTTTTTTAACTTTTTTTTTATTAAACAGAAAATATTAATTTCTATTTCTATTTCTAAAATGTTGATTTATAAGATCTAGCGTACTATCAAGTCTATTACTACTTCTTTCCAAGCTATCTCTGATGGAACTCGCAATTTGATTTGAGCGACGGATCTCCTCTAAAGCTTCTTGTGCGTTTCTTTCAAGCCTATCAGCACGACTATTGAACGCCTCAAAATATGTGTTCCTTTGGCTCATATTTTCTTCGTTAATCTGCTGAATAGTCTCAATAACTTGGTTATTTCTCACATCAGCATTGTTGGTGCGTTTTCTCGTGTTTCGGGTAGGTTCGACACCATCATTTTCCATCATTGCTTCATAGTTGCGTCGAGTGGGGCGACCAGCTGAATCCAGTACGGTATTGATTAAAAATTCTCTTTCTTCCTCAGTAACTGGTCCTGATGGTTCTGGCTCTTCGTCATTGTTTCCATCACTATTGTTGACTGTTAAGGTTTGCGAGCCAGATGAAAACGTTGCCAATGGCATTGTTTGTGGATCGCCCTCCAGACAATCCCACAAAAGCTTGTAGTGCTTGTACGCCGTATTTGGAGCAATCCCATTTCTTTCTGTGGCTTTAAACTCGTCGTATAAGTCCCTGAACTTTGTCTTCATATTTCTGAATTTTCTTTCCAAAGCTTCTCTTGATCTGGTAAGTGTAGATTGCTCATTGAATAATCTAGTTACAGCTTCCCAGATACGATTGTCTGTTTGCATCCTCCTTCCACTGTTTTGGTGACTAGCCATATTAGTTACTCGAAGAGCACACTTACAGTATTCAATAAGTCTTTGCTCCTCCGTTTCTGTCCAGTTGCGACTGCGTCGTGGTGCTGCTTGTTGTTGGTTTCCAGATGAGCTGACATTATTGGATACAACGGTCGTATCTAACTCTTCATCTTGAGAGATCTCATCTTGCGTGGGTTGCATTGGGCGCTGTTCATTGTTAAGCAAATCAGCAATGTTCATACTGCGAATACGGTTATAGATAGTATCCGCAGTTTGGTTATCAGCGTCAGTTTCGTTGTCAGCGTCGACCATGGTTGTACGGTACTGATTATTGCTAACATTGTTAATTTGAAAGTTCTGGTAAGGATTATAATTAGACATGGTTTTAGTTTCGTTCAAAAAAATAAAGATAAAGAGGAATAAATGCAACTAAGAATTTGACATTGATTTACATCATCAAGTATAAAATCTGAGGTTATGTTGTAATTTTAGTTTGTGAAAACTAGACTTTATTTGTAAATAGTGTAACCGGAGAAGTCTTGTCCATGGCATTTTCCCTCGACAAAAAGTTGCCGCTGCTCTCGCTAAAAAAGGCAACTGCTAACCATTTTTGGTAAATGTCTCGACAAACTTTTGTCGGCCCCGTTTGCTGGAGAAGCACCTTATTCTCAACGTACCTTTGATCTTATCACTATTGTTACCATTGATGCTCCGGCACAACTCGCTGAACGTCAACATTTTTTTCTCGCGTTATCGATATGTCAATAATTTATACCAGAGAAGATACTCCCTCCGTTAGCTTATCTAGTAATTCTCCAACTTTAACCTCTCAAACGATCATCACTGGGGATTTCAATTAGAACCTGCGCGATGTCTTCACCTCTTTGACTGGACAACAGGCTTTAAGTAATCACCAATTTCGCTGGAATCAAGTGCTTCGATCCGATTTTCTGAGCTGCCTAGACTTGCCTACCATATGACCCACATTTCAAAGAGGTCAACAAATGTCAACCATAGACTACATATATTCGACTTCGGATTTATACTCTGATAAGATTAAATCCAATGTAGAATTTATATCACCTGCATGGACTGACCACGCTGTATTGACGTTTACTTTTAAGTGTCTTTCTACACATTCAGGAAAAGGACTTTGAAGAGCCAATCCGGCCTTAGTTCCGAATCCCAGAATTTTGGATTCCATGCATCAAGAGATTGATAACATTTGTTCAGCGTTTCGTCACGATCTTAGCCTCCAGTTTCGATGGGATGTATTAAAGATAAGGTTAAAACAGTTGGTCGTAAAACTGGCCGACATCATGCTAATTGGCGTAAAAACATTTAGATGTGTTACAGTTAAAACGATCTTCGATCCGCAATAATTCACCATTGACTAGAGCTGCCCTACAATTCAGACGTTCCAAAGTGGAAGCGAAAATTTAGGGACTACAAGAAGAAATGTCTACCAATGACTCTTTACGAGCGCATAAATTTTGGGGGGAAACAGGTAAATCTTCGCCTTCTTTTCTGAAACGCTCTATTACTAGTCGCCTTACCAAAAGTTTCATTCTGGAATTATTACATCCAATTACATCAGTATCCTGTACAACTCCAGAAGCTCTCATTGATGCAGCTAACTCATTCTATCAAAGTTTATACACTACAGATAACACCAACTAAACCGCAATTGATCAGCTAGCTGAGACTATACACACTAGTTCCGTACTTGACGAAGGTCAAAGTGCGCATCTCTTAACTGAATTTTTTAAAGATAATTACTGGAAGCTGCTAAACGAACTCCTCCACAAAGTAGCCCTGGTATAGATGGCATTCCATATCTAATCCTATTTCATTTATTACATAACGCTGCTGCATAATGGGTGGCTATGCAGGTTTACAATGATGCTCTATTCAAAAGTATTTTTCCTCCCAGTTGGCACAAGACGTGTACGATCCTCCTTCCTAAAAAAGGTGATCTCACCAATTTCAGTAACCATCGACCAATCAGCCTTATCAACACAGATGCCAAGCTCTTTACTCGTATGCTCAATTCCCGGTTAATGATGTACATGAATGACATGATCAGTTCACAATAGATGGGATTTATGCCTAGTCGATTCATTGGTGAAAATGGCAAAACCTTACAAGCCGTTATGTCTATAGCCGAATATAACTCGTCGAACGCAATTGGACTATTGCTAGATCAAGAAAGGATTATGACCGAATCCATCCTACATATCTAGCTCGAATGATAAACAGATTTGGGATACCCCACCCGATAATATCATCACTGTGCACATTATTTTTTAACACACAAATTCACATCAATATTAATGGCCACCTCCCTATACCAGTCCTACAACGACGAGGTCTGAGACAAGGCAATCCTATTTCACCTCTGTTGTTTAAGATAGACTTTGATCCCTTCCTTCGCTCGGTGCAACAAGCAACAAATTTCCAAGGCTTCTGTTTCCCATCATTAGTGTCCGAACCTTCTCCTGAACCGTTAAAAGTCATGGCTTATGCAGACGACACTCTTGAGTTTCTCGAGTCTCACCAGGATTTTGATTGCTTAGAACAACCTATTCACCAGTATTCCCTCGCATCTAACGCAAAACTAAATTTCGCTAAAACCCAGGCGTTCTCATTGTGAGGTAAATCAAGTCATTACTGGAAGGCGTATTTATTTTCACGGGAGACACCCATTAGTTCATGGCATGATCGACATTCCCCTGACGCACTGACTTATCTTGACTATCCAGTATACGTTACTGCTTCTCAGAAAAATCTAGCGATTGATACACTAATACAAAAGATACAACGAGGATGTCAAATACACTCTGAACGTAATTTATCAATTAAAGGCCTAACAGTTGTCCTCAATACCCTCCTCCTATCCAAATTATGGCACGTGCTACGTAAAGTTCCTCTGACAAAAGGTCAAATTGATCGTTTACGTGGAATCTGTAGTACTTTTCTCAATGCATCTCGCTTTCCAAGAATAGCATACCGAAATTTTGCTCCTCACAAAACGAAAGGCGGTGTTGGTATTTTGGATCCTCTAGTTCAACAACTTAAGCTACACTGGCGTTGGTTAGCTGATTTGATTATTGCTCCCACAGTGCTACAACAGCCTGAACATCTTCATCGATCTTTTCTACACACAAGTGTTCCATATCTCAAATATGGTCTCTCTCTCATCGCATCAGGAGATACAGTACATCCTCTTACATCTGGCCACTTCTATTATCAACAAAAAGACGGGGTTTGGTCAGTTAACAACTAATTTGTTTACAATTCTCTTTTCTCTAACGGATTCTTTACCTAATTATGATATTAGCCAGTCTAAATTGTCGTTGGCTACGTTCCTTCAATTGGATCTAGCTTCAATTGTTGTTCCAGCTTCTAGCACTCCTATCATTCCGGCCTCTGAGTCAATCATGTCTGTGGTGTTCCCCCGTAACAGCGCCAGTATGTCTATGACCTTGGTACGCGATTTCTTTGTTGTGGATCCCAATACACATATCCTTCGACAACGGTCAGATTGTGAAACTAGATTCCCTACGTTACTTCGTAAATTTCGGGTAGAAATAGCAAACGGGTACATTCAGCATACAGGTAACTTCGGTCGTCTCCTGGGTACCAGTATCGAATTTATTGGGGCTATTGATCTCCGTCCCCTTCTTGAATCGCAAATGTGTACATATATTCCAGCATTCGATAAACCTAAACAATTGGCGTGACTCTCTGTTCCCTCCAAAACCCACTACCACCTTTAGTATAGACAAATGGAAAACGTTTTGGAGTCTACCGATTTCTGCAAGCATTTTTACAGTATGGTATCGGACGATTCATCGCAAGTTGCCCAACAAAAGTCTCTTGCACAATATCATCCCCGAATCTTTTCCTTCGGCTACTTGTATCCATTGTCCACAAACCGAGGATACTCTACTCCACTTTTTATATGATTGTCCCACAAAAAAATCTATTTGACTCCAGTGTTTATCCACCTTCTTTCCAGACGTGCCCATCGAACCTAGTAGAGTACTATCTATACTCCTTTCGCTTGGTCATGGTGACTTCAAAACAAAAAATATACTGTTATCACTTCGTTATCTTTCATCTCCCTTATTGGCTGCATATTACTCGGGATCTGGAGATCTCATTGGAAACTTGTCTTTGACGATCAACCGTTTACAATTGCAAACGGTGCTTCCACTCTGCTCTTCTATTGTATGGCAATTACACTTCCAATCGCTGGTCGATTAATAACAACGTAATTTCATTCACAAGCTACTTCGATCGCCTTTGTTGTCCTAATTGTAACTCGTTGCCATTATTCTTCGTGACTTTGAAAAAACATAAAAAAAAGAAAATAAAAACAAATCATTTCCCCATTAAATCTTAACTCCCTTTTAGTCCAACCGGGACATTAAATAAACTTTTGAAAGACAGCCGTGCTGCCTTTCCATACAAAAAATAATACTATCAAATAATAATTGATCTTCTTTTTCGCTTGGTCAGCTCCGCAATTATGAGTTCCGAAGAATTAGCTGCTATGCAGCAAAGAATTATGCAATTGGAACAATTGATATCACAAGCACAACAGGCCCAATCTTTAACAGGGCCACAGCCACTACCAACGCAACAAATGGCTGAAGATAGAATGGAGGAGCAGCAGGGTGTTCTTCATTGTCTTGAATTAAGACCCTTGTACAGGTAGAATCTATCACAGTTCTTAACTGAAACGTTATCTTTGGATAGCTCATTATTTTACGATACAACCATGCGGGATGAGGAAACACTTTTATGAATTGATAAGCAACCTGGCATCGAGACCGTTCAGTATCAGCCACCAGAATCTATACCTAGTGCCACGCGTAGAATGAACAAATTATCAGGCCAAACATGATATGTCGTTAAAGCGTTTGCAGTACTTAATTTCTAGGGTTTTCTGCCCGTTGGATGTACTGGGTTTAGAGATTAGTCTCGAAAATCAGAATCAAAACGTACAGTGATACCTAGAAATGCTTAGTGATTGCAGATCCTCATTACTAAATTTATCAGCAAATGTAAACGATCTACGTAACCAAATTGGTTTTCAAGCTATAAACCCCTCATTCACAACAACTAATATAAGCAGTACAAATTATAATAAGTCTCCAACTCAGTTTCAAGAAGCTATAACTCAACAGTTAAGGATATCGAGCAGCGAGTAGGAGGTCGTCTCAGCCAGTTTTAGACCGAGTGGACCACACTTTCAACAGACGAATGGCTGCTGAAAACCATCAAAATCGGACTAGAAAATCAATTTGTTTTCCCACCAACTCTACACCAAAATCCCACGCCAATTATCCCGTACAATCAGCAACAACAACAATTAATACGCCAGGAAATACACAAATTGCTACAGAAAGGTGCGATAGAATTAGTGCACCAGCCAATGACACCAGGATTTTACAGCACTATATTTGTAATTCCCAAAAAAACCGGGAGCTTGCGCCCAGTATTGAACTTGAAACAATTAAACCAATACATGCAGGCTCCCCATTTCAAAATGGAGCCGCTTTAGGAGGTAACAAAGTTAATAAAGAAATAAGATTTTCTAACATCAATAGACTTATCAGATGCATTTCTACATACAGTGCTCACGGTACCAATTTGCGTGTTTTAAAAAAATTTGCGCACTTCTAAATCTCAATTTGCGTATTTTCTTAACTCTATTTGCGCTTTTCTAAATCCCAATTCGCGTTTAAACTAAAATCATTTTGCGATCTTCCCAACTCAATACGCGTTGGTTTATTTTATTATGTAAATTATATGGGGAGCTCGTTTAAACAGTCTTCGAATACTTTAACTGAATGCTGTGCAAAATTACGAAGATGGTCTCTAGGAACCTGATCGCATGCCTCAGATATTCTAGTTTTGAGATCTTCTGTGTTTCCAAATTGGCTACGTCTTACCTTTCCTTTTACTATAGCCCAGAATTGTTCAATAGGATTACGTTCGGGGGAATAAGGAGGGAGATAAACACATTTGTAGCCTCTGCTCTCAACTAGTTGTCTTAGCTCGCCGGTTTTTCCATGAATGGGGTACTTATCGATGATCATGTAAAACCCTTCAAATTGAGGGTACGTATCCATTTCATCCATTATTTCTTTTGATGAAATTGTTGTAATGACCTGCATTAGTCCTTCCAGTTGCTTTTGATTAAACAGCTGTTTCCTTTCGTTTCTGAGCACCAACAACTTTGATTCTCTTTGGTGTCAGAGGAACCCTGATTTCCATGTTTACCACTGCACAGGTCGAAATTGCTCACAGAATAGTATGGCTGACAGCTCGTGCTGACGGGCTAGTCACAATTGCTGGAGTTCTCCGAGCTGACCTGGCAGTTGGTGGCTTCATATTTATATCAAAATCACTCTCATCAATAAAAATACAATTTTTGGTGTAGTCCATATCTGTTTTTGCCCACGTCTCTCTTTGATTTCTGCGTTTTGATTGGAATTTCTAGTAACCGGATGAGGAGTAATTTTTGTGATACTCAAATTGCATTCAGTTGAAATGAATTTCCCAACCACTGTTTCTTTCAATGTGAAGCCTTCAAAACGTTTGGTAAGTTCTTCAACTGCATCGGATACTCGGGCATGTGGGTTGTCATCAAAAAATTCAATTAAATGAGCTTTATGCTTTTCCTGAAGCTGACTCCCCTTCCTGACAGTCTTGTTCGTATTTGTTTCGAAAATATCAAAATCGGGATCATTTTTCAGTTTCTTGGCCCAATCCTGACCAGTGCGAACATTAATCGCAGCTTTTCGAGCTGATGCTGCAGCGCTTAAAAACCTAAGTTGCAAGTAATACAGAAATAAAGTTTTCTGACTATCTGAATAATGTGCATATTTGGTTTTAGATGTATTGCTTGCTTCGATAGTTTTTTCTAGCTGTGCTATTCTTTCAGGAAGTTCAGGGTCTGTCATGTCGAGATCTGTTGGCTGCTTTTCAGAATACTGCGTAAAGTTACTCAAAGTTTCTGTGTTATAAGGATTGACTTCTTCTTCCCAGTCTATGGCCTCATTTCCATTCTCGTCAACAATGTCCACCTGACCATTTTCAAACATAATTTTTCCAGTGATTGAATACATGCTAAATGTTTTTAAAAAAGAAAATGCAGATTGGTCAAGAAACTGCGCAAATAGTAATTTTTTAAAACGCAAAATGCAATCCAGAATGACGCAAATTGATTTCAAGAAATGCGCGAATTGGCCAATGATATTTACGCAAATTGAGATTTAGAAGTGCGCAAATATTTTTTGAAACGCCTCAAACTGGTACGGTGAGCACTGTATACCAGTGCATCCGGATTCAAGTCAGTACCTTCGCATGCAATGGCAAGGGAGAACTTACCAATAATGTACAGCCTCATCTGGCCTCTCGCTGGTAACGTGGCTATTCACCAAACTGACCAAGCCTATTTTGGAATTGGCAAGGAATTAACAAACCAGAATAAGTGCATACTTGGACGATTGGATCATCATTGCCAGCTCAGCAGTGTACTAAAATCACACTATTTAACATATGAAATCGCGTTTAAAATCATTCCATCGATCCTTGATCGACAGGTACATAATATCATAACACTCATAAAAAATAACGGCATATAAAACATCCTGAGTTATACATTTACAACTCAGGGTTACTAGATATTCCAATAGAAGACCCCATTTCGAATAATAGATTGGCTACACTGATAAGGCTCATCAGTCATTAGTAATTACAGCCAATAATACCAAGTGAACACAAACTAACCCATACTTTTACCCGTACTTTAAATAATTATAAATACCCCCTTTCTTTCAGAAATGAAAGAGCGATTCACTTTTAATAAGAATAAAAAAGCCTACAAGCAATATTAATCTTATTCTTCCAGTTTTTTTTATCTTTTATTTTTCCGTGTCAAACAAACCGTTTTTCCACAAGCAGGACAAGCAGCACAGCAAACACAACTGGTAATACAGAAACTAGCGTCATTAGGATGGATAGTCAACTGCAACAAGTGGAGTCTAACGCCCCAGTAATCAATAGAGCATCTAGGCTTTGTATTGAATGCGAACACAATGGCAGCCCAATTGCCAGGAAAGAAGTTGAGAGATCTTCGACTCAGCATACAGCAAGTATTGAGCAATCCCATGGAATCGTCTCGTATAATTCACAGTTTGACTATGAAGATAGAAGCAGCCACATTTGCACTTGTACCAGCTCGTCTGTACGCTCAGCATTTGATGAAAATGAAGAACCAGAGTGTGAACTCATGGAGAGATTGGCACAAGATACAGGTAATACCAAAGGAATGCATCGAGGAGTTACGTTGGTGGAAAAACAATCTACATCTACGGAATGGGAAACGTATACTAGCACAAACACCACAGCAGACCATATACGTAGATGCCAGCAACACGGGTTGGTGATGCAACATGAAACTAAAACATTAGCAGAGCAGAACCGCATTCGGACATTGGACGTACCAGGAAGCCAGTATGTCAATCAACTGGTGGGAGTTGAAAGCGGCGTTTCTTGCTTTAAAAACATTTCCGCAACTGAACAACACGAGGATTCTGATATGAACAGACAATACAACATCGGTGGCCAAATGAACAAGCAAGAGGGTGTTGTATGCGAGCTGTAAATACACCTTAGCTAAGATAATATGCTTGTGCTACGACGATTGAAGTATTCTCACTGCTGTCATATTTATCATATGTCAACTGGTAATTTCAGAGTTCACGTGACACTAAATGTCTATTCAAGTACGGGTTGTTTATTACATTCTCCTTATTGCTCCTTGCGGGTTTATTGACAGCTTGGACAATATTTGGATATAATATACCCACGATGGCAGGGTCCCGCTTGTAGTTTTAGTTGTATTCATTAATATATAAAAATAATAGGAATTAGGAATTGTAAAAAACAGTCACAAAGTTACCAATTTTTTGAGGGGGTGCGGGGGTTTGGGGGGAAGTGTTCCCCTCCCCCCAAGAATACGGCCCATAATATTTATCATTAAATTGTTACCTTCTGAAAAACAATAGTCCATTTTTTTTACGACGTTGTGTTTTTAAATCATAATTTTTTTTATGGTGTAATATTTCTGAGCCGAGATACAAAATTAGAGGATAGGAAAACCACTCCTCCCAAGAATACGACCCATAATATTAAACATTAGACTAAAAAAAAAGATCATATATAAAAACTGATTGTTTGGAGAAAGTCATAATATAAAAAGTGACTTTTACGGAAAAATCATTGCAAATAAAATTCTTACTATGGGGTTTTCGGGGTAGAGGTTCCCCTTCGCCCCAGTATAACAACCAATAGCATTAAGCATTATATTATCGAGGGTAGAAAAAAGTCTATGAACACTTTTTCACAAACAATATGTCATTACTTGAGAAGAGCTGAAAATTGTTTGTTTTTGGTCGATGAATGGGTCGCCTTTGACATTAATATATTGGATTATCAAGTCTTTTGTTATGAAGTATAAACATTGCCCATACAATGGTTAATCAGATTTATAAACAATTAATAATTTTGCGTAGATCAACTTTCTTGCCAGAGTCTAGGGATGTTGTCTTTTTCCAAATATTTATACATGTATTGAGAAACAAAAAAAGTTTTCTCCAGTGTCAAACTGATAATAGGTAGGGTAGCTTAAGCTATAATGGTGCGTTGGTTTCATGGTTAATGAATTTATGTTAAGTTTTTTATTTCAAAACCAGGCCTGCGGCAGCACGAGGCTTTTTCAAAGCGCAGCGTACCGAACCATAGTGCAGGTCAAAAATTTACCGCAGCGCAGTAAAGGTCAAAATTTTTACCGAAACGGAGATGTGGTTTGAAAAAGCCTCGTTATGTATAAAAGAAATCGTTATTTTTATGTTCAATAACATTTAGTTCCATTTTGAAATCTGGTTAATACTTTGTCTTATTTTCTGTTTCGGATTTTTGGATTTTTCAGGGGGCACGAAATCATAACCATTAATGAAATTAGCAACAAGCCTGTGGAAGTGGTGTCGATAACCAGGAATTACGATACAGTCCACTCATGTGCAAAGAGTGAGGAACACAATCGCAGACTACGAATCATGGCGCCCATACCTCAAGAACAATTGGATGATACAGCCCAAGATATTTCAAGAGTTACAACAGTACCTGGGAGAAAACAACGTGGATCTATTTGCCGACAGGAACACCAAGCAGCTTTCAAGATACGTATCATGGCTACCAGAGCCAGGAAGCGCGAACAACAACGCGTTTACTATTCCGTGGAGCCGATTCTACCGACCGTATTTGAATCCACCATGGAGTCTGATCAACAAGTGTCTTCAGAAGTTGATACAAGAGCAGGTACAGCAACCAACAATGGTTACATCTTGGTGGCCAACAGCAATCTGGTTTCCAACAATCCAGACGCTCGGTATTGGTCCGCCACTCCTGCTGGTTAAAGCAGTGGTTCACCTACCAACACCAACAGCAATACAGTGCATCTATTTTACAATGAACAATTTTCGTTAAAACGGACATTTTCAGAACTTAAAAGTCGGATTTTTAGACTGGTGATTTTCATATTTTTTGACAGAGAAATCTAATTTATCGCGGGGAAAATTTTTAACCGGGATATATCCGTTGGATTTTTATGAATTTTTGCACTGTAAAACACCCCCCGGACATCTTTGGGTCTTCCCACTGTAAATGGCAAATTTTGTTTTGCCATCTGTAAAAAATTTTGTGTGAAAAAAAAAATTCCGGCTCTATTAGTTTGTGGAGAACTCTCTAATAAAGAATGTAATAGAGCCGGATTTTGGATACCTGTTGAATTCATCGAGGAGATAGAGTTTTTATTTTTTTTGAAAAATCGGAGCCAAAAATTGTTCATTGTAAAATAGATGCACTGTATGGCCATTACAAACCGCAACTGGAGACTAGCCGTATGGAGCTTAACATATAAAATGTACAGGCGTACAAGCTTAAACGAAAATGCCCAGCAAATATTGATCAGTAGACGTCTAGAGAATAATGCCACCAATCGCTTCTACAGAAGAGGTGAACTTCTATTTTTGGAATGGGCAAAAAAATCACACAGTCGAACCAGATAAGTTTAATCATGCAGATTTGATAAATTTTTAAGTGATGTTACGCGACAAATCGAGCGTACTTTCAATTTATCTTCTCTTTTAATCACCTACCATAGTGCATAACGCCTTTTCGGGCTTGCACCTGTCAAAACTACCTCTTTCTATCTTTTTCTTATCCGTAGCTCTGTGACCTCTTACTAGTCGCAGTTATCTCATTCGTCTTCATAAATTTATTTAACTTCTTTATTTTCAGTGACTGGATTATATATCCATCACTATAAATAGGCATCCATAAGACCTCTCTTGCAATGAAACTTCTCATCGATTATCTTACTCATATTTCAATACTTTGACCTATTAGTTTTATATATTATTCAGCTCTATTATCATTCTGATTGATCCCTTGGTTATATATTATCATTGTATCTTTTATTTATAAGCATATAAGTTTATACTTATTTTCATTTATTTTCAGTTCAGCTTCTGATTAAACTAGCTGTGGTGTTCACGTAACTCGCAACTCTAAAGACCTTTCTTTACTAAACCTCTATTTTATTTAAAGAGTCTCTTTTATCTCTATCATCCTACTCGCATCCTCTTCTAAATGTGATATGCACGCTGATAGGTCATACGCTGCTACAACGATACAAGTATTGCGGGCTTCAGTCACTCACTTGCATAAGGATCCCATATTGCTAGGGAAGAATGAGGAGATCAATGCGTTTATTACTGCTTTACTCAACCAAGCACCGGCGGTAACATTGCATAGACCCACTATTAGTTCGTAGCCTACCTTCACTTATTTAGGGTCATTATCTGCTACAAATATATCGTTGGCTACTTTACAAAGTAAGTTGGCATTCCTATTGGGGGTGACGTGTTTTCTTCGGCCTTCAGACTTATATCGTATCCCGTGGTCTTCAATGGTTTTGTGGAATAACGATTTGTTGTTGTCATTTGAGGTACAGTAGTGCTAAAAACTGTCTCACAAAAACTAAAATTAATATCATATGGCGAAAAACAATGATACGGATTCCAAATTTTAAAGAGTAGTTGTTAATGACAGTTAATTATTTATTTTGGTAATTGGAGCTATGCTATTTAAGGCAACATGTAAACAATCACAAAAATGTTACTTTTAGGTCAAAAGAAGAGGGACGATGTTTATTTTAATATTTTGTATAGCCACCTTTTGCTTTAATAACTGCCTCGATTCTTTTGGGAATACTTTCGTAATACCTTTGCATATCCTCCAAAGTGAAACCATTCCATTCCTTTTCGAAGCGGTCCCACAATTCATCTATATTCCTTGGCTTAGTCGAATAGCTGTTTAACTTAACTTTTATGTGGTGCCAAAGGTGTTCGATGGGGTTCAAGTCGGGACTATTGGGTGGCCAGTCTCGAATATAGTTGATTTTATTTGTTTCCAACCATTGCTTTGTAAATTTGGAGGTGTGCTTGGGATCTCCGTCTTGTTGGAAAATCACATCCGTACCGCTTAATCCGTAATAATCAAGTGTGTCCTTGTATGTTGTGCCCAGAATATGAGTATACAGCTCGGAATTCATTGGGTACTCCACTATGCGGCATGCGTAGCCTACTCCAAGTGATGTCATACATCCCCAGACCATTATAGAGCCGCCAGCACCTTTCAATCTTGTTTGAATATTATGAGGCTGCAATGAGTCATCTTTATGTCTCCAAGTAATTTGAGCTCCATCAGATCCCCATCTGTTTACTTTTGTCTCGTCCGAGTAGACAACTTTTTTCCAGTCATCTACGGTCCAGTCTTTATGTTCTTTAGCCCAAAGAAATCTTTTTTTTCTATTGACATTGCTAATGAGTGGTTTTTTTTTCTTGAATGAAGATTTAAGATCAAGAGATCTCATTAAGTAAGTGGTCGAAGAATAGCCGTAATTGTAACCAATCTCTTGCAAATACTTCTGAACATCCTTAGCTGTAGCTAGATAACCCCTTCGAACATTAAAACTAACTACTTGTTTAGTTCTCTTAGGAATCAGACTTGGTCGGCCACCATTACATTGCTCGCGATCAGGATCATTCACATTTTTCATTCGAATAACTTGAGCTCGGGATACTCCTGTTGTTTCAACTATTTGCTTAGTTGTTTTTCCACTAGTTAGCAATAAGGGACTTCACGTTGTTTCGGGTGTCTTGGCTAAGTTTTTTAGGCATTGCAAGTAGAAATAAGACAAAAATAACAGTAGAGCATTGTTGTGGGAAAAACACGTTTTTTAGATGGGATTTTTATAGCATATGGCTATCGAAGTCCCAATTGGATGACCAAAAAAAGTTTGGGGCAAAGCCCTTATTTGGAAGCCGAAAAAAGTGTCCGTAAAACGCCATAAACAGAAACAATTTCATGTGAAAAAGACGTTTTCTATGTTTGTAGTGCATGTAACAACGGCAAAAACGTCTAACTACTGTGTAACGTGTCAATAACATCCCTCTTCTAGGAGCATTTTTAATTTTTTGAATACTGTAATTAATGCGGATTTTATCGTCGATGTAAGTTTTGTGAGACAGTTTTTAGCACTACTGTACATAAGCCGTAAGAAAAAAGGGACCGGCACTTAATTATCAAGTCATTTTCCGTCAAAACTCATGTGAATTTAAATCTTGTCCTATCAAAACATTCAAAGCATTTCGGGAAAGAAGACCATCTTGGGAGGCAGTGTCGTTGTTCATTAATTCAATTCAACCAAACTAGCCTATCATGATCCGAACGGTTCAAGCATGGATGTCAAGACTTCCTCACAAGTCTACCAAAGAGAAACGGGTGTCGGTACAATCGGTTGCTTCCTCTCTGGCGTTACAATATGGTATGCCGAAAGAGCATATAGTCACCATGGGTAACTGGGCATCGTCATCGACGTTTGAGAACCACTTTAGGCGGGAACATCTTTCTGAATTTGATTTCAACAGCACACTCATTGATGACAAGAATATCGAGATGGAATCAGATGAGAAAATATTTATGGATGCTTCTGATTCTTTCATGGATTCTCTGGATTAGCACAATCATATTTCTTAATTTGGATTTGAGTGTCTCAAGCAAATCTAGTAGAATTTATTCGACACATGAATTGAATATTTAGACATGAAAATACAAAATAAGAAATATGATACCCCCACCCTCCCTTCCCGATTAACCTCGCTTTAAAGAGAATCAATTGTTATATGATAATATTATTTTAATTTTATTTATAATTTTTGCTGACTTTAAATAAAGAAGATATAAAGCACAACCATATCACTTATTTTGTATTTTCATGTCTAAATATTCAATTATCGTAATGGATAAAATTCAGTATCGTAACTTTTGTTTATTTTTTTGGAAATAAAAAATTAAGTTCTCCAATAAAATGTCTTCATTTCTGTCAAAATGATACTATATATGGTAAGCTCGAGTTGATAAAACTGAAATTGAGTTGAAATTACTGGAGAACCTGCTGGAACTTTCCAGTATTATCAACTGGTCAGTTGTAAATACTGGGCATTTAAAGTTTGATTTACAATCAAAAACTTAAATCACCTTCATTTCATTTTTCTGTTATAAAAGTATTTATTATGAATCCCTTGTATTCTAAGCCGATCTACCCTAAGCGCCGTGTTATTAGAAATCCCAAGGAAGAAGGATATGAAGTTGTATTCGAGCATGCCGAATAAACTTTAAGTGAAGTTCAGGTACAAAAAAAAATTGGAATTCATGCATAGCTTGAATATTAAATATACATTTTTTAGCCTGCACCTAAAATCCCTCGTAGAGGTTGTCCAGCAAAGAACACTATGTCCGTTGAATCCCCAACTGCCGAGAGTTCTGGACCAACTTATGATCCTCCTGCTATCCCCATTTCAAGCGCTCTCGTTTTATCCTAAATTAGTCCCTTGGGATACACATGTGAGTTTGAACTTGCAATTAAGGCCTTGCCGATGAAAGTGCGTGCTAGTACTGCAGCAGTTTATAGAATGCCTTTAGAAAATTGGAAGGTATGTTGTAACTGAAAATTTTTTTATGCATCATGTAAATTAAATTTATTGTTTTTGACCCTTTCCAAATCGAAGGACATTTGTGAAAAGAACCGACATAGATATCCCGTTGATCCTATGTATCCATATACTGCTGGGCCTACCGAATTTGTTGTTGCTTTCTTCAAGGAGTTTGTTTTTAAGCGTACTTATAAGAAGATTGTTTCGATCGAAAATGATGTTAGAACACAGATCGGCTTACGAACTGAAGATAATGTAGATAACCAACCATCATTGCGACAAAGTAAGCTATTAAGACGTACTCTAGCTGTATGCAGTCATTGACCTCTCTGTTTTTTTTTAGTGGCAAATAATGCACCATCTAATAAAAATGGTAGTAAAAAAGTAATTGAAGTACCATTGGGAATTGAATCTATCAACCAGTACAAAGAGGTTTTGATGTTTTTTCATGAATTTCAGTCTAGTCGCCGAGAGGTCGAATGGCCATCTCCTAAAAAAACGAAGGAAATAATTGAATTGATCAAGAAGTACAAGCATGATCTTGTTTACGATCAAGTGCAAACAAATGTGGATATAGCAGCACATTGTGTTATTCGTGATTCTTACAAGTCTGGCGAATTAATTAAAATTTTAAAAACCCTTTGGAGTTCAAGTGCTGATTCTGGTTTACGTAAAATGTTTTCTATATCTTCTCGTAACTACATGTTACTTCATGATCAAGATCTGAGAAATCGGAACTTTGCTGACTGTTTTTGTACCATCATTTTCAAAAAACAGCACAAAGGTATTCTGCAGGCTTTAGCTTTGGTCTTGTTGTGATCGCGCTTATATACAGATATAACTCAATCATCAATTCTTTCTTTCTTATTTGATAACCTTTCTATAAATCATTATTGCATTACTCTTTAAATCAAATACATGCTATTACACTCTATTTACTACGCATTGATTACTCATCAACATATAGAAAACAATAGTCATACATTTATTCCAGATAATACAATCCAGTGATATGATCGCTCGTCAATAACAAGATTCTCGAAGGTACCATGAGATGCGCGATCTTTAATTGACAATACGCCTATTGTATATTTGACAGGTTTCACTTAAATGATTGATATTCAGCCAGCCCTGAATATGTATATAAAGAACCCAATTTATTGTATAATAAAGATATTAGTTTTTTTTTTGCAGTTTGATAATTTTACTTCGTCAAATTTCTTTATTTTTATTCTTAATTCGTTGCTTTATCTCTCGAATTTCTCAGGTCTTTAGTCTTGACAAGGGTAAGACCCTTAAAGAAGGCGAGGTTAAATTTGCTTGTGCTATGCCGTCATGAAAACGTATTTGGATGCCCTTTCAGTGCGTTCGCCTTCTACATGTTTAGTGTGCTTCAGGTATGTTTACAGAATAACATTATAATAATATGCATATACCACATTTTAGATCCAATGCTAATTTATGAAAATGTATAAAAAAATAGTTTAGTGGCGATTTCTTGAATGAAGACAGATGGCATAACTGGAAGGTATTGCGTGGGCGTAGTAGTTCCGAGAAACGCTTGTCTGGTGGTTCTCAATGGAAAACAGCAAAGAAAGCACTTGCGCACGAAGAAAATTTTACCACTCGAGTTACTCACGGTGGCCGCCATGCAAGTTTAATGGAAGCCGAAGGATTAATAATTCCATTTGACCTGATTAAGCGTGGTGGAGGATGGAAGGATTGCCTTGGTCGGTTAGAAATCCACTATGTTGGTAAGCTCCCTTCTCCTTTTGCCCGAGGTATGGCTGGTTTTTGGGAAAAACCATTCTCTTTAGCAAGAAATACGGTTTCTCCGTCTCTGGAGCTTCAAAGAACAATCTTTCCTTTGATTGAAAGTTACTTTGGTGTTGGTAACGTTGAATGGGAGGCTGCGTGTGATAAGGAGATGAAGGAAATTGATGAAAACAAAGACGAGGATGACAATGTAATCAACCTGGAATAAGAAGCAAAGCCGATCCTGTTGAATTTGTCGAAGAGGATAGAAGGATGTTGTTAAAAGAGAAAATTCAAATGGGAAACAAAAAAACCTCAGAACAGCATAGACACGGCAAAGAGGGGGTTTATAAGACTGTTAATCAGATGTCGTAGAATCATCTTACAAGACGCAACTATATATCTGTATATGAACAAAGAAAACAAACATGTCAGTAATGATAAACCTTTGTCCTCAAACTATCAGTTCAAGATGTAATAGCAGCTATCAACAGTCCTTCTATTGGTAGACTGGAAGAGTACGAAGGTCTTGTTCCAAATATAGTCGACACAAACAAAGAGGTGGCCAGACGAGTTGCAAAAGCTACCCAGCGAATTTCACATATCCAACATCAACAAGACAACAGATCCGAAAAATCCGAAAATTCTTTTAATAATTACGTTAATCAAAATAATCAGCAAAACGCTCTTATGATTAACATGACCCAACAACTGACAAAAGATTTAAGGATTCTTATGATGCAACAACAGTGCCTGAATTCACAGATGCAGCTAATGATGGCCACCAACAACGCTTTCACAAACTCAAATGCCAACACAAATTTGACTGAGAAATTCGAGAGATAAAGCAACGAATTAAGAATAAAAATAAAGAAATTTGACAAAGTAAAATTATCAAACTGCAAAGATAAACTAAAGTCTTTATTATACAATAAATTGGGTTCTTTATATGCATATTCAGGGCTGGCTGAATATCAATCATTAAAGTGAAAACTGTCAAATATACAATAGGCGTATTTTCAATTAAAGATCGAGCATCTCATGGTATCTTCGAGAATCTTGTTATTGACGAGCGATTATATCATTGGATTGTATTATCTGGAATAAATGTATGACTATTGTTTTCTGTATATTGATGAGTAATCAATGCGTAGTAAATAGAGTGTAATAGCATGTATTTCATTTAAAGAGTAATGCAATAATAATTTATAGAAAGGTTATCAAATAAGAAAGAAAGAATTGATGATAGAGTTAAATCTATATATAAGCTCGATCACAACATTGACACAACCACAAAATTTCCCTGCTCTTCCAATGCAATCCCTTCCTGATCTCCCCAACTCTCAACACCCTGTTACAATTCAGCCTGCCATAGCATCAACAAATGTTAACCAGAATACCGCAACCTCGTCAAAGCAAAAAGCAAGAGCGCAAAAAGCCAGATGGGTCAGCTACCAACCTACCAGTTCCGAATAACATTTGTTCCTTTTTTCCTTTCTTTTCATTTATTGTACACTGTTGCATACCAGTTCTTTAATAAACGTATTTGTTATATATATATTTGTATCGTAGTAGCCATTCTTTATTCTTTATCCACCATAAAGATTAAATAAAAAAAAATATATGCCTTTCGTAGAAAAAGCTCTATTAAAAAATGTTTAGGTGACAAAAGCACAACAACAACAAAAAGTTTCAATAATAAAAGTATTACATAGTCTAAGCAGTGGTTTAAAATAGACATTTACGGCTTTCAATGTCTGACAATTTACTCATTATTCCCATTCGAATGCTCATTTTCAACAAACTTTTTCCAATTTTACACTGCTCCAGTATGGGATTCCAGTAAATGTGTCATTTTATCCAAAAAAGGAAGCATTACTATTTCGGGTTAATTTTCCACAGCCCAGGCCTATAGGCAAGAGAATTTTTTGATTGGCTCTCCTTATTTGGAACAGTTTTGTATTTAAACCGTTACAGTACACTATTTCCCGAAATTATTGGCGCATTTTTCGAAAAAAAATTAGGCTCATTGAGAGAAAAAAAATTGTTTCAAAGTCCGAAATAAAATAGGTTTATTTACAAAAATAAATTGGTTCAGATATATAAAAAAAAGCTTAAAAATTCTTAATAAAATGGAACAGATTGAGGGTGAGCCAAGTGCACCAAATTGTGAATGCATCATAAAGGTTTACGCTCGATACAATCGCTGAACTTGGAGACAGAATACCTACAGAATCCTTTCAAATCACTCTAGAGAACTCTGTTACAGGCATCTTGGATTCTGGAGATCAAGGTTTCTTCACTTAAAAGCGTCTCCCTTTTGAGCTTACTCTTACACACTGACCAAAATTGTTCAATGGGATTGAGCTCAGGTGAATAGGGCGGAAGATAAATGCAACCGTAACCCCTGCCCTCAATATACAGCTGTATATCCTTATTTGTATGAATGGGTGCATTATCCATAATGATGTAATGCCCCTTAAACTCGTCATGCTGGTCCATAACATCCAATGTACTGGCAATAAAGTTAAAGTAGTGGCCTGTAACAGTACCACCTCTCCCTTTCACATTGGCAGAATTCACTACACCCCCATTTGCTTTCCTTTTCTTTTGAGAAGCTACCGCTTTTGGACGCTTAACTCTCATATTTACGACGCCGAGACTAGATACAGCATCAAGTATAGTTGTCGTTCTAGCTCTTGTTTTTTGGAACGTGGACAACTGCTCTAATACCTTTTTTTGACCAAGTAAAAGAGCGCTTCATGTTGATATGAAATGCTGCTTCATCCACAAATACACAATTGCTCATATAATCCATGTCAGTGTCCTGCCATTTCTTGACACATTCATATCGTTCCTCAAGTTTTGCTGGGCTATTTCGTTCCACTGAATTACAATGCGCTCTTTTCAAACTGTTGTTGTACTTTTCGGTCACAAATCTATGCAAACCAGACTTAGAAATGTCAAGATCAATAAACTGAGTCGTCAAGCTTTCTATCATTTCGTCCAGCACAATATCAGGCTTGTTGTCAATCAGCTCAGTTAAATATCTTTTATGTTCGTCATTGAAAACAGTTGGTCTTCCTGCTGGTCTACCGCTGCCGGGTTTTCTTCCAGTTACTTCACATTGTTGTTCTCTTCTTCTTTTTTAAGCCAGTTGCGAGCAGTCGTGGGAGGGATATTTAAGTTTGATGCGGCACTACGGATGCTATACCCTTTTTCATAAATTAAAAAAAAAGAGCTTCCTTGTCCTCATCCTTGTAAGATCTACAGTGTCAAGCAAAACTGTTACAATGATTTACATTTTTTTGGAAATTACGTTATGAAGGAAACTCCCAGTTAACAAATATAGCTCAAAATATATTCTTAAAAAGGCTCGCACTTCAGCTGCAATAACATAGTTTTATTTTATAAATCGGAGTTATAAATGGATAGGTTATACTATAATCAAAATCAAGCGGTACATTGTAACAGTTTTGCACGGTTGAAAAAAAATGGATTTTTATTTGGAAAGTTGTGTTTAATATTTGGTCCAGTAGCCTTTAGCCTTGATACACTGTTCAATACGTTTTGGCATGCTTTCAATAAATTTTTGACACTCTTCTTTTGTTATGACGTCATACCAAACTTCGGTTACCCGTTCATATAGCTCTTGCATACCATGTACCGGTGTTTCGTACTCGTTCAATCTAATTTTTAATAATCGCCACATATTTTCGATTGGATTGAGATCAGGTGATTGAGGTGGCCAATTCATAACTTGATAATCTTGCGACTGCAGGTATGCTTTGACTAATTTGGAGGTATGCTTAGGGTCATTGTCATGCTGGAAAACAATTTGGCTACGCTTAAACTTCAACTCCCGGCACAAATAGTTGATGGTTTCATTTTGTTCATCTTCCAAAATGTTTTTATAAAGATGCTTGTCCATGTTCCCATCAATCTTACACAGCCACCCAGTTCCTGTGTATGTAATAGCGCTCCATAACATAATGCTACCACCGCCATGCTTGACGCTCATCTTGACATGTTGAGGTTTAAGATGGGTACCGTCACGAATCCACGCCCAGACACTACCGTCCGAGTTGAACCGGTTGATTTCCGTCTCGTCGGACCATACCACGCGTTTCCAATCTTCTAAAGTCCAATGTCGATGGGCTTGACACCATTCTAATCTCTTCTTGACATTGCGAGCATTGAGTAATGGCTTGCTTGGTTTAGGAATCGCGCCGAGACCACTACCTTTTAGAGCACGTTTGATTGTGTCTACACTAACTGTCCTGCTATGGTCCATTTCGAACTGTTTCTTAACCTTGGAAGCACTATCCACCCAACCTTTAGTCACCAAACGGACACAATAGCGCTTGTCTGCGCCAGTGAGAACTTCAGGTCTTCCCCCTTTTCTCTTCTCCCGATCCGAACAGTGACTTTTTCCCACACGTGACACTGTCGCCGTACTTACACTGACCTGATCAGCCACCTGCCGTATTGTGGAGCCATTATTAAGCATGGAAATGATCTTGTTTTTTTGAGACTCTTGAATGGAGCGCATTTTATAATTATTCTATCTGAGTTTCAAAAAATATTATGGAAAAATATAAGAAACTTGAAGTAATATGAAGAATAGTAAAACAAGAACATTTGGAAACTGTCTTGACTAATTTAAAAAATTTTACCGACTTGTGGTGTCGATTTTTTCATAAAAAAATGAACCGTGCAAAACTGTTACAATGGACCGCTGCATTTCAATTATAGCACAACCTATGTAATTTAAGCTCCGAATTAAAAACACAAACTACTGGCTTGTAGCTGATAAGCAAGGCTATCGATCGATATAACTTATGCTGCATTTTGTCTTGCAGAAAGGGTCGTAATTGCGTAAATTCCATAAAATGTTAAAACATTGTAACAGTTTTGCTTGACACTGTATAAGTTCCCGGATCACCCCTTGATCGGTAGCTATTTGAGAAGGACATGCCTCAATTATACCTCGTTTAGGTTTCTTGCGTTGTTTGGGAGCTTTCTTGGCTGGCCTCAGATCGAGATATTGTCTATATTCAGTTATCTCGCCCAAAGAAAAAAGGTCGTCGTCAACCTCCATGTCAAGAACTGCTACTTCATTTCCAGTGTCATCGTGTAATTGTCCTGTACCATCGTCATGCAAAAAGGTGTTCATTTTAATAAAAAGAAAGTTCTAATTTTGCGTTAACATTTAATATTTTCTTGGCTATTTTTTTCTGTTTTTTTGAGCCTAAGCGTTTTTATTTAGACCGTACGCTTACAGCTGAGGCTCCTTTGATCCAATCAAATGCCTCTATCTTGAGTTAACGGAGTTGTATTGGGGGAATCAAATCACTTGATTTGAGTTAACTGAGATTAAATAAACTGATTTTCTTTCTTTTTATCTCTTTTTTGAAGTTTCAAATTGTTCCTGACACAATTGAAAAGAACATTATGAATAATCTCAACCCCAGCTCTGATGTCGAAAAAACAGGAGGGGAAGGAAGTTTCCCGAGATTTAAACAGAAACGTGGTCGCCCATCAGGTGGAAAGACTGAAAAAAGGCCTGAAGTTGTTTACGGAAGACCGAGAAAGCAAATCAAGAACCAATCGTCAATGTTGAATTTCACAATGCAGGCGAAAGCAGTAGGACGACGTTCTTAATTTTTATATAAGCTTTACTGTTGAGTCATTCATATTTTGTTTTTTTAGTCTTCGAACACTATTCACAATGAGCAGGAACACCAACAAACGAATGTTGAAGGGATCGTCGACAATAATGTTGACACAACAGTCGATGAATCTGTACCTGAAGAGAGTTTCAGTAATTCTGTAGTAGTTGAGCT